TAGATATAAAAGGTTCATTCTAAGGTAACAAAAACATAATAATTCTTATTTTCAGGGGATTATACACTAATGAAAGCATATGTATTATATTCCATTTCTGCCAATAAATATTACACACTGGTCCTTTAAAGGTATGTTAGGTAACAGAATTGTGGCACAGTCTGATACCCGCTGCAGGTCAGTTACTGGGCCTCCATAGGACGCTCACCCAATTTTTGGCACATTTTACTGTGTATTGATATCTGACAAGCAAAGATAATCCATGGACAGGCTAAATTAATGATGATTTTTTTCTCTGCTAGGTGTATAAGCAGAAGATGAAGCACCTCCTGTGTGAACACCAGAACACGATCTGTGAGTTGAAAGCCAATGGTTTAGTCTCCACTGAGGTGGTGCAGCAAGAGCAAGACAAATTAGAGACTGAACTTCACAGGAAAATGAGGGACATCATGGTAGACATGCAGGAGCTCGACAATGAAAAACTTGTCAAGGAACTTGAACTGGTTTGTACATGCCAAGACTATTTTATTTCTAAAGTTAAAGATCTGTGGATTTAATGTTTCTATTTACCCTGATATATTTCAACAAGTAAGCATCAGTGCTACAAAGATCTTTTATCTCAACAGAAACATGATGAAGAAATGACTGAAACAAGGAACAGATTGGAGAAGCAACTCGCAGGTAAAGAACTAAACTCAATTAGAGTTGAATTAAATACTCAAAACTAAATGGGAGCCAATGTTCTGTGATGCTTTTTTTGTAGAAATTGAAGCCAAGTATGAGAAAAAGATGGAGTTTCTGCCACGAGAGCTGGACAACATGAAGAAAAATGAGATCAGTGAAAGAGAGGAACATTGGAGCAGCCACATCAACGCTCTTAAAGAAAACCACAACCAAGCTTTCAGTGAGGCTAATCTACTCCTTAATCGCATGCAGGACGATTCGAAAATAAATATTTCACTCAAGGTACACAAATTTCAGATGTGCAACTATTGAATGTTTTTCATTATTGATGAATCTCTTGATTATTTTTACAATTAATTCTCTCTATTCTATAATCTTCTAAAATCTTTGATAAATGACTCAAAATTGTTGACAATGTTCTGTCGTTTGACTTTTCGTTTTTTATTGGCTTTTCTTAGAAAGAAATTAATGAACTGAGGGAGAAACAGGTGTACAAGGAAAAGGCCCTGGCTCCTATTGTGCAGAAGAACAAGCGTCTCGCTGAGCTTATCTCAAACGTGAAGAAGGAAATGGCTGAAAATGAGAGAAAAATGAAATGCTACGTGACGACAAAGGGTTATGTTGGTGTCAATCTTTGTGAATGTTTTAAAACTGAGCTTACTGTTGAAATTTGTGCCCTTTTTATTTTTCTTGCTACCTGTGCCTTGTTATACTGTACATGGGCACCAGGTTTTAATATGTGACACTGTTGACAGGACACCAGTGAAACGGTCAGACAAAAGGAGCTGAAGGATCTGAAATGGGATCATGAGGCACTGGAACAGAAATTCAGCAAGGTAAAAGCGTGTCATGTTGCACCTTGGATGAGAGCCTAATACTTTGTGTACATGTGGGCATTTATGTGAATGTTGGCGTGTGTCTGCCCATGTGCTCCTGTGTACATACACAGCTTCAGCTGGAAAGGGACGAGCTGTACACGACATTCACTCAGAATCTTCAGAAGACGCAGCATAAAGCAGGTGTGAAGAGCATGCTGCTGGAGAGGAAGCTGAAATCTCTGACAGACAGCCTGGAGAAGACGCAGGCTCAGCTCAGCTCGGTGCTCGCTGCCTCCAACATGGACCACATCGCCCTCAGCGGGGTCACAAACAAAATCGAGGTACTGTTGTATATCCCCCTTTTGTTTTATTGTTTCCTTGTACTCATAATTACTGATGTCATTTACATTCTTTAACATATTTTGTAAGTTGCAGTGTGTATTTTATGCATGTTGCCTTACTGGTTGGACAAGAACATAAAAGAAACCTGTTTTTGATTGTAGGAAAAGTTTGACTTCAGTAATAATTCCATCAAGAACTTACAGTGTGAAAAAGCTCAGATTTCCAAGGTGAGTAGTTCATTTTATTTAACTAATGATGATGTTCAATGTGTTTTTATCTGTTATTATTGTTGTTTTATCTGTGCAGTAATATTCATATTTATGTGAAACAACTGTGTATCCATAAGGCCCGTAGGGAGATGCTGCTGACCTATGAAGCAAAGCAAAGGGCTTTGAAGGCCTTTGACAGCAGTCTCACTGGGAGAAGTCAAGACTTGGATTTTGGGTTTGCCCTAAAATGAGAAGCAATGAAATGAAAGACTGAACCATTTACAGCAAATCTCACTTTCTTTGCATGTGATCTCTTTAGAACCTTTAGAACCTGACATGTTGATGTTCAGTAACACAAAAATGTAAACATGAAGTGTTGTTTACTCTGAATTATGACTTGGTATCTTGTATTTATAAGAAAATAATGGTTGTGGAGTTTATAGTATTACGTCCATCATGCCCTTTTCCAGTGCGTTCCAAAGACAGAGACACGTACTAATTGAGTCAGTGACGTTAAGAAAAAAGGATTTAAAGTTTTCACACTGACTGGCAAACTGTATGGCAGATAAAAAGATTGTAATGCCTTTAATTTATACCCTTTGGGCTAATTATTTTACCCCTAAAATAATTTCCATAGACCAAATAATAACTAAAAGCTGCACTCTGGCAGGGAAAACATTTGCAAACCAAATGTGTTACTGCCTATTATTTTTTCCATAATCATTTATAAAATAGATCATAGAGTATGTAATGTACTTTTAGTTTGCTGCGTGTCTGTCCATATGTAGGATGTATATTGAATAAATTAATATAGAATTAAATACATCGAAATATGTGATTTAAAAGAGGCTTAAAACCAAATCGCATGAATCCCACTGGTCCCACTGACTGCTAAGCTAAATACAGTACTAGTTAAATGACTAATTCAGCTGTTTTAGTTCTCTGATCTCTATTGTAGCAAATGCAACTTTGCATGCTGTTTCCATAGAATTTGCAATGATGGCAATGTGGCACAACAAATCTTCAGTGCAGTGGTGGTCCTCTAGAGTTAGTACATTTACTATTTAAACCATGTATTCTGTTGGTGGTATTTGTCAAGTGTTTAATTTCAGCGAATGAGCAACAGGTGTCACTGTCCACTTACTTTATGACTGTTTCTTTTTGTGTTTTTAAGTGTGTCCATAACCGACACCAGAAACGACTTGGACAAGGCATGGAGACATATTTGAATTGTGCAGATAATTTGTCTAATTTTAAATCTAATTTTGTAACCTTTTTGCGGTAACTCCCATTCGCTGAACTGAACCTGAACTTCATTATTTTGTTATTGCTAGAAATAAAGAGAAGCTCTCCAACCATTCCCTGCCATAGCACATCCATATGTACTACAGGACACAACCCGTATATAATGGGAAACCATCAAAGGAAACCTGCAGAGCTACTCAGCTATAAAACATTTAAAATGTTTACTATAATGTAGAGCTGTTGTAGCTTAAACATGCAATGTGCAGCCGTTTTATGTTGTAAAAAATTAATCAAAGTATCTCAAACAGGGTTGGGAGCAAGAAAACGTGGGCATCCCTACTGTTGACTCAACTCTTTGACTTTCCAACAAGGAATTTTGAAATAACCTCATAGAGGCTTTATGCGCCCCCTGACCGCTAAGACCCCTGGGCCCATGCCAGGTAGGTCGGTTCATTAATCCATCCCTGCATGGCGAGAGATACACATCTGTACAGGGAGGGGGTTGTCTTTAAAAAAACATTTTTAATAAAGCCTCTGCCTTCTGTATCAACATTTTAAATTCATGTGGAATTCAACAAAGTGAGTTCAAGGTATAGGTGACTTATTATTATTATTATTATTATGTTACTGTAAATTCATTAATGTCTCCCACAGATTCAACAAGAAGTGCCTTTGATTTTGATCATTTGTAAAGCACAAAAGGACATTATGTTTGAAGATGTATGTTCAATACAATAAGGGTTATTGCTGCTTTATGAACGATAAGCCTGTGTGGTGTGCTTTTTACAGCTAACTGAGCCACATGCTGATGTTCAAATGAAGCTTCTGGCTCACAGCAGCAGCTTTATCATTTCAACAGCTTCCTGCAATCTGTACTTGGTGATGGGTTTATAGCCGGCTGTGTAGACATGTAATACATACTAGTGCTGTAAAACTTCTGTTAAAGTCCTTTACAGTCCAGTTATAATTTAATTAAATTAATTATAATTACAGCAGTTGTTTTTGTTTTCATATTTTGGTATTTGGGTTCTCAATATGGATGGATCACATGAAGGGGATTATGGATTTGAGGTCACTCTAGAAAACAAGAACTACAGTGGAGGTCATTCAACATTAAGTGATACAAATAAAACAAACAAGAAACACCACATTGATTTGTTATCTGACAGTTAAAGTGGATGGTCTTTATACCAATCTACGATTCTATCGATCTATGAAAGTGTTGCAGAAAATGGGACTAAAATCTTAATTTGACATTCAACTACTGGCAACTACAATTTAATTTGATTGATTGATTATACTTCTGTCCCAGATGTGAAATAGAAGTGGGACATTTTATGCATGTGTTTTGGAACTGCAGCCATTTGTTTTTGAAACCTTGACTACAGCAATCAAAGAATGTAGACCCTTGTCTTTTCCCTTTTGGGGATATTTATATATTTACAACCTTTACCAAACATATTAAAATGTTTCTAATAATACTAATAACAGTAGCCAATACGTGCAGTAGAAATAATCAGTATAATTTCGGTCTAATGAATTGTTATCCTGTGTTCTATACAAAAAAGCTTTGTACAATTAAAACAAAACATAAACAATTCATTTGATAAAGATTAAGGTTCCCTCAATGGAAAACCCAATGCTAAGAGGGTGTGTTTTCTGTGTGTATTAAGTATCTTTCTTTTTTTCTGCTTCTTTTTATTGTAATTTGGAAAACATGCTCAATGTGAATTGTTGTAAAGTGGAGTGATGATTAAAAGATTTAAAGTATTTAAAAACAATTTTATCTACACAAGCATTTACGTCCACTAGCTGCAATTTCAAGATATCCATCATGGTTAAAAAAGCAAGTAAAATAACTTTTCAGCTTCTAATTTCAGTAAATTACAGCAAAAATCCACTCATTTTAGTGGTCATTTGAGATATTTATGACTTTATATTTCCACTGGAAGATGGGGGCTAAAAGTTGGACTCAAACCAAGTATTCCAATCTCAACAGCTAGTTTCACCAGCTGATTTCTGCCATGCCTGAGTTTCCAGCAGAGAGAGGAGGAACGTATGGGGTGGATCCAATTTCTCATTGAATATTCCTGTGGTGAATCGAGCCCTAGTGCACTGAGTGATCGCTGTTCCCTGCGGTATCAATAATACAGGAGGAAGTTATTGTCCCTGTGCAGGCCACAGTATCATACAGCTAAAGCAAGTGGAGGGAGGGGGTGGTCCTTTCACTCAGCCCTCTAGGGTTTCAGGGCCTGCAGACAGTGGTCTGACTCTGGGGAGCCTGCTGCTGTGCCCTTGCACAGGGCTCAATTGTAAGCCCGCCTGACCGAGGGATAAATGTGTCTAAACAGTGACAGCCTGCACAGTCCTGCTGGCCTGGCCCCGTCTGTAAGACTACACCCCCAACAAACCCAGTGTCACGAGATGAGTCCCAGCTGAGAGACAACTCAATAGGGAATCAGTCAGTGGGAGGCATCAGACAGTTAGAGAATGGGATAGATATCCTGGGTGTGATTAACATGATCCAGATTTTCACCTTGTTTGAGCACCTAGCTGAGTGCTGTGACCTTCCTGTAGCCTTGTGATGCTCCAAAATACTGAACTGGAAATACAATATATTGTACATCCAAATACAAGCTGTGACCTGTAGGACTGAGAGGCAAGTCCTGTGTTAAGGGAACCGTGTACACCCAAGTCCTTTCACAAGGCTCCCCCAGTTCTTCTGTTCATTGTCATAGAAAACAGCCAAAAAACATAGCATAACAAAACAATGGAACTGTAGCATGGCAAGATAACTCATTAAATATGAAACCAAACATCATATCTTAAACCCCAGAGACAAAAAAAAACAAGTTCCCAAAACAGCTAAAAGCATAGAGAGAGAGGAGACAGGTGGGAGGGGTGCAGGAGGAGAGAGTGAAGGTAGAGAAAGTCGGAGTCATGGTGAAACAGAGTTGCTCTCAGAAAGAGGTCAGCCCTGAGTGTGCTGATACCACTGGGTTAGAGATGATGGCAAAAGCTTGAAGGGACATATAAAGAAATGAATGGACTATAACAGTTGGTAAGTTCTGAATTTGTTGTCCTTTTCATTATTGTGAGTGTATAAAATATAGTTTAAAGAGTTGTATACTTTGCTATTCTTGTCAAACTGTTCTCTTTAAGAATCAGAACTGTGTATTTGCTCTTAAATATGTTACCAAATGTTCATAGCTTTTCTTTGGTCACTCTTTTGAGCATCACATATGGACCTACCTTTAATACTTGACAGTTTGAAAGTTTAAAGTTAAGTACATTACTGATACTTGTTTAAGTAACCATGCAGTGAAAGTGGTAAGGTGATGTGGTAGCCAGTCATTAAGGTTTAATGTCCCCTCTCCGCTGAGATACATTACTCCTTGAGTCCATCCCATCGCTGAAAATTAAAGAAAAGGCAGCATCCGTTAAAACATGCGGTGTTGTGAAATCAACAGGAAAAACAGCCTAAAGAGAAAAATGTGACACAACTGTGTCACTGTGCATGCTGGCATGAGATGAAGATGGCAGAGAAAGGGCCAGGGATGGCCACTCTTTTCACAAGCATCATCGTTTGTGCTGTTTTACTGGGACATGGATCCCCTGAAAAGACAGGTGAGTGCCCCACCAAAACATGTTGCTAAATACAATATTTGTATGTTTTTACTACTTGTGCCAGCTCAAGTTGTCTATAATGGGACTTTTTTAGGAGGCAGTAAAGAGGAACAGAGAGGCGCCATTCTCAAGGAGATAATTTCAAAATGGAGCACAGGAAGTGGCTGGAATCCTCAGAAAGCTCCTCCAGAAACCAACAAGGACCAGTCTGTGCACCCTTGGATGAGGAATATCATGGGGAGCCTGAAAACACTCGGCCTACTTCCCAGCAAGAACCTGCCCTCATTGAACAAGCCAATTGACAGGCACCGTCTCTCTGGTTTCCTCTACAACATCTCTCTGTACCTCCAAGAAATGGGCGCTGAGCTGGAGGAGGCACCGACACAGCCAGATGAGGAGCAGCTGTGGGAGAAGGTGCTGCATTTCTTTCTCCAATCTGAAGGGAGTGCTGCACTGAACCAGTGGAATGGCCGGGTGCCACCAAGACCCAGCGTCAGAGTGCAGGACTGGTTTTTGTCCCTGAGGGGCAGCCCTCACTGGGACTGGCTGCTGGGGCTGCTGCAGAGTCTGATCACTCTATCAGAGCGTCAGCCCCACAGGCCCCTCTTGACGTACTTGTCTCAGAACTGGAGGACAGTGAGCGCTGTGCTGGAAGCTGCACTTCAGGCTCTGGTCAGTGGGACCTATGGCCAGGCAAGCGCAGGCCTGCAGGGCTTCATCTGTGCTCTTAAGGGTCGTAGTGACTGTGCCTTCAGTGTAAGCTGGCTTCAGCAGCTACTGCGTTTCCTAGAAACACGCAACTGGAAGCCTGTGGTCAGTTTACACCCAGCAGGGGAAGGTGCTGAACACAGTAAGAGCTCAAATGTGTTTGGACGTTTAAAGCCCTTCAGCATGCCTCCCGAGGCCATGAGGCAGAATGAGTTGTCTGGAAATGCATCTCTGGAAGACACAATGGCCACAGAGGATGAATCTATGCAAAGTTTACTGCTGCAGGCGTTATCACGTTCAGGTGTAGGAGAGAGAGGTGGCCACCTGGCACAGAAAAATCTAGCTCTGGTGCAGAGTTTGGATGGGTTGAGGAGGGGCCTCCTGCACAGGGTGGGTAATTCTGTCTATGGGAACCTGAGGAAAAAAGTGTCACGAGTTACCATGGCGCTGCTCGATGATGTCAGCACCCTGGTGGACGTGCCACAGCCCAACGCTCAGGGCCGGTGCTCAGTTGGTGAGTATATGTGGAGCAGTTCGCACAATCATAGCAGATAAGAACTCATTAACTGAGTTAAATATGTGTGCTGTTAGCTTAATAACATTTTAATTCAAACATGTTATAGTAATTGTTTAGATTGTATTTAGTGTTATTCGCCAAGAAAAATCCTTGTTAAGAGCCTCATAATATTGGCCCTGGTTTCACCTGAGAGATACAAGAGAGACAGTGACAGTGACTGCCACTGCTTTAAAATCTTTGTAATCATCCTGGCCGGTGAAAGCATCTGTTGTTGGCCCAGCTAATCTCTTTATCCTCTCATTGATGTCAGTAACATTATATCTTGGGCATTGTTAGCTGAGCTGCACTGTTACATCAGGCATAGTCATCTAGTGCAGGAGCTTCCAGTTGCTTTTTCCACCACTCATTCACCCTGATTTTCTGTTCATATTTGCTTTTTGTTTGTCTTTTTAAAGGTGACCTGAGACAACTGATCTTATGGTAAGATATTTTATGAATGTGACTGACTATATAGGCCAGATATTTGACATTAATTGTAAACAAATTCACATCTCTACCATTGTTTTGTCACTGCGTATGTAGGGGGATAAGACATAATGTCACGTGGAACACTCAGGCTTTGGGTGTTATGTCCCAGGGTCTCCCAAGCTCACTTCCATTCCTGTCCTGCCCCTCCACCGAAAGAGATGAACTAAGATCACAACTAACACCAGCCCAATCATCTCCAAAAAAAGCCCCCTCATCACGAACAATCTCCAAACAAAAACGCCTTCCCGAACTCTCTACCACACCTCACCACTCCCAGTTCAACCAACCAGACACAGGGAGAACGAGAGAGAGCAACGACCAGCAGAAAGAGATGGAGTACTCCACTTCTATAGAAATTTTGGAGGCAGCGTGTAATGAATCCATCCCCGGCTTGACAGGCGTCTCCAACTTCACTGTGTTCCTCTACTGTAAACTGTTTGAAGGTGAGAATGGGTCAGTTGATCCTGCAATGGCCCAGATGGGGCTCGACCTGCACGCCACGTGCTCTGATGCAGCTTGGTACCTGTCTGCTGCTGAGGAAGACTTCCTTTGGGTTCATGTGTGCAGTGAGTTCTTTGCCCATGAATTCAACAACACGGTGTGTGCCAACTCCTCTTTCTGGCTGCAGAGAGCACATCAGGTAATGGATCCCTTTTTTAATAAGTGAGTGTTTTCTAGGAACTTTTGGCTAAATATCTGTGGCATTGTAAGGCGTATTGGGGATATACTATGTTTACATATTTGTGCATTGCTTGTTTCTTTCATTACAATTCATTCTACCTCATTTTAATTTATTCTATTTTAATATTTGCAGGCTGCACTGACAAAGGACTACCATTTTTTTAACCAGACAAGCATAGATGACCTGTGTGTGCAGTTGTCAGGAGAGGTAATAGGAAGTCCAGGACTCGACGAGAACTGTCTGGCCCAGTTGGGCAACAGGTTGCTCAGTGCACAGGCGTTCAGACACTGTTTCTTGCCCAACAACTCTGTCTTGATCTCAGCTTTGTGCGGGAGAGAGTCCCCCGACTCACATCAATCCTTGCCAGAGGGCAGCTGGGCTGCGGCTTACTGCTCCAAAATGCAAAACTTCTCCCATCTTGACACTGCTGAGGAGATTTGTCAGTATAGGGAGTGGGCCGTGCATCATTTCACCAACTCCACTCTCCTGGAGCTCTGTGGGCAGACACATGGATTGAGAGAGTACATTTGTTTAAACGCCACACTCTACAATCAGCTG